TGAGTATAAATCCTCTTTCCAGCAAATGGGAGACAGGTGATTTATTGCAGCCTTGAAGACATAAGCTTATTTCTCCATACTTCCTGCCCAGCAAACTCTGCAAGCTGACTCATGGAGGGATGGGAAGCCAAAGGCTGTGCTCTCTCTTTCCTATCTCTTTCAGAAGGCAGAGGAGTGGTAGAGCAAGGGCTGTACTCATGCAGAGCCCTTTGGAAATGCCGGGCAGTATTGGAGGTTCAGAATCCTCTGCTTTCTCCTCTCTATGCCATACATTTTGGAGAGGGTATTCTCTCTACCTGCTTTGGAGCAAAGACTGGTATCAAAACTGGCATCAGAGGTGGAGGTCATTTCAGCCCATCTGTGGTGCTCCTTTCTCCCCCTCTAATTCCATGTGTGGGACCATGTTGCCATCAGAGCTGCAGAAGAGATACCAAGGGTGTTCCTGGTGTGCCACAACCATTACCGATCCCTGGAGGGGACGATCACATGCCCTAGTTTGAAGCTTGTGACCTTGGTGCTTATGTATATATTTAGCTTTGCATGTGTGAGCTATCCCACAAAAACCAATGGACTACTCACGTGTGAAGTTGGACATGTGCTAAAGTGCTTTGCCAGATTGGATACTGTGTCTACAGGGGTTTTGGGTGAATTTGAACCTGTTTTGTTGGGGTGAAAGGCTTTGGATTTCATTATTAAGAATCTGATATGTTACTCTCTATGAGTGCAAGGTCTTGGAGTTATCTGAAATTCTCATTAAGACAAGAAGCTAGGAAAAAATACGAATTCCACCACTAGTAAAGTTACTAAAAATACTATAATTAAATTATCTAAGTCATAAAACCAGTAAAATATATTGAGAAAGTGTGGTAGAGGTATAAGTACAGTGTTCTGAGAGTACCAAAGGGACTAACAGCACTTTCTTTGCAGATTTTGAGCTGGGGTATTTGGAGTAGTTAATATAGCTGATGTAAAAAAGCATGTTGCATTTGCCCTATTCTTGATTCATAGGCTGTGACCCTTAATAAATTTTGATGTTGCACACAGTGGAGCTGTTGCTTTCAGAGAAAGCAAGGAAAGTAAGCAGGCAAGCAAGAAAGAGAAGGACATAAAGAACGAACAAACAAGTTCTTTCATAAGGTATTTCTCAATTGAGTTTATTTCTTATTAGGCTTAAATTGTTCAGGTTCATCATGTACCATATCCGGCAGCAGTCCTGCAACTGGGTTTTTAAAAAATGGAGCCAGCTCTGTCTGATGTTAAAAGCTTAAATGCACTTTGAAAGTGTATTTTCTGGAATATATTTCTGAGTAAAATGCATTTCATGAAAGAAATTCTTAATATTCTAGAATACCTGGAAGACAGACTTGGTTTACAGCCCCAATACTGTCACATACAGCCAGGGATCTTATTTTGGTCAGAGAGATAAAAAAAAAAGAAGTATATAACAAATGCCTACTATGTGAGCATCAGTCACAACATTTCCATGAAATGCTAAAAAAAATACTGGACTGCTTTCTTGTTTGTGTTGTTTTTTCACACCAGTAGACTTAAGCCCGTATGCCCTTGCTGACATGATCTGAGCAGACTTATGTGAGTGAAAGATGCTTGGCTGGCAGAAATCCCTTACTTGGAGGGCAAGAGTGGGAGTGAACACTGTCCTGCTGCTCCACTAGCCTTGGTTTGGGATGCTGTCTCTGACAGTGACTCCACTGACAGTGATCACTCACTGTTTGGCCTTTTGGACCAGAGCACCAGCAAGCCTGTGCACTCTTGATAGCCTCTGAGATGTATAGCCTGTCCTCTAGGGGATCACGCAGGCCAGCAGGAAGGTGGCACAGCCTAAAAAGTATTTATTGAGAGGCGATCGAACCTTTCGCTTCTTTGAGTCTCTTTTTGAGGGGAAAAATAGCAATTGAACAGAGGGGAAAGGTATCAGAAGCTGGCCGTTAGTGATGTGATGGTTCCTTGGGCAAGGCTCTCCTGTCATGTGTTGCACAGTTTGGGAGGGAGAGGCAAGCTGGAATTTTCTACCATGCTACAATCTTTGTTTCCTTTTTGAGCCAAGTCGGCTTTCCATTTTCATTTCCTCATCTCCTAAAAGCAGATAAATAGTTCTGTTTCACTACTTACCTCCCAAGGTTTAATTAATAAATGGCTGCACTGTGCTTTAAGCATGATTGTTTGCTATGCAAATAGACAGGGGTATTATTTCTTTAGTACATGTGAGTGTCTGAAGCCTTGCTCCAGTTCGGAGTGCTTGTACCAGTAATGTGTGGTGCCCTGGCTTAGGGGCACTGCATCCCCCACAGCACTCCTGCTGTTTGTGAGGATCACAGGGTATGGTTTGAGTGTGGGCAGGTTGGATGCTTAGTGGCATCCGTTGACACCACTGGAATTAGGATAGTTCACAGTTGCCAAGTGTCTTTCCCTGTTTCTAGATGCTGGTCACTGTGATCTGAAGTAGCTGAGGGAGCGAAGAGAAAGTGTTGAATATGAAAAGCCGAGAGATGTGTTGGGCTTGTGTTCTCTTCTTATGTTGGGATGAGCTCTTGAAGCCTGGATGTCACTGACCAAATCTGAAGTACTTTTTCTGGGTTGCTGAGTTCTACCCCTGCAAGTGGAAAGTGATGTTTTCAGGAGAGCTTAAGTACCATCTTAAAAAATCAGTTAAACTTTTTGGAATAGCTTTTACAAAATAAAGCTTCTAGGTTCCTTAATCAATTTTCAGTACAGGTTGTGAGACTGTAAACTCCTGCTCCTGTTGAAAAATATGTTCCCAGGCAACACATCTGTTTGCATTTGAAGATTAATCCAAATAAATATTTACAGAGTGCCACCACACTTTTCAGTCACTTTTGCATTTTTGTATCTAAAAATATATGTTTTCACATCTGCAATTATGCCATGGAGGCCATTTGCAGTAATTATGTGTAGACTTACAGAAGTCCTGTCTGTGAAGCAGAGAGTCAAGTTAGTAGGAGATTGGCATGCCCTCTGGGGTGCCATTATTACTTTACCAGCAATGAATGGTGAAGAATTTGCTCCCCGTTTTATATATGACAATGAAACCCTTCTTAAATTCTTCCTCGGAGCCAAGTACAAGGCTGTCTTTTAATAAAAAATGTGTTTTTACCCATGTCTATATTTATTTCTTACAGGAATGCACATGCTGCTCCAAGAGCCACCCACATCCTTTTGGTATACAGGGTGTATTTGCATTTGCAGCCTGTCTCAGTGCAAACATGGGAAGGGAGAAAAATCTTACCTTATCTCTAGTGTTAGTTTCCTTCTCCATCTCTAGAGTTACTTGGAGATTATCTTGATCACTTACTGAATTAAAATCTGTTCTATTACCTTTTCTAGAAATAAGTGCCATGTAGATGAGACCTTAGCTATGTTTTTACTTTTAAAATCTCTACACCAAATGTTTTGGTCAAGCACAAGAAAATATTGCCTGGTTTTTGACATGCAAATTGGTTTGTCCTGTGGATTCTGGCTTTAATTCTGCTGCCCCAAAGTGGGATAGCACTTGAGCGTGAGCTTAATTTTAAGCATGTGCTGAAATCTTTCAGAATTTGAGGGAATGAGGCATGTGCTTAATGTTTTTTTGAACAATGTTGCTTTTCAGGGTTGAAAGCTTTGTAGGAAACCCGATCCTTTAAACTAGCTCCTGTTTATGTACATTTCAATTTTATAATATTCCAAGTTTTTCCCTTCTTTCTTCAATACCCATGATGCTACATCATATAATGAAAACAATACGGGTCATGCCACTTGCAGTTACTGAAGTAGGCAGTGAAATTATTTTTTTTTTTCTGAAGGAACCAGGGAAATCACATAAATCACAGATTTACAAATGTTTTCCCAGGAGAGGTCCACAGTAGTTGGCTGCATAGCATGACAAAAGTGTTGTTTACCCATAAAAGGGTGGTCATCTCAGCAGGTCATTGATGTTTTTCAAAGACTTCTTGTTGATTTTAAAGTATCTGGTAATTTATTCCTTGAATTCTGGCTTGCAAAAATAAAGAAGGGTAAATATTGAGTATAAGAAAAGGCCATGCTGCCATTCAGTATGCACAATGCCGTCACCTTCCTTCTCCCACCAGCTTCATTCCATTGTTGGCTTCTGCATTTCTTGTAGGGCATGAGCTGACCTCTGTGATTATTTGTGGCATTCAGATAAACCCTTTTTTTCACAGGCAACACACACACACTCACAAGGGCTTTTATAATTTGCAAGTTCAGCTATCACTTCCTCTGTTCCCACCCTGCCTTTTGGAAAGATACCCAGTCACACGATGTGCTTGAAAAAAGGTTGCTGATTGAGGAAGGATGCAGGAAGGATATGGTTTTGCAGTGGTTGCATAAGTGCCGTGTAGGACCTAGAAGTCTTGGGTTTATGTGAGGACGAGTTTAGACGTGAATTTCAAAGACTGATTTATTCTGATTTTTAAATAACTTCTGAAGCTTGTCTGCTTTAGAGAGCCATGGAGCAACCTGTGATCCATCATGGATTAACATGGACAAATATAAAACTGTAGTTGGCAACCTGGATTCCCAGCCTCTGTTCCGTCAGAGATCTCAGCCTTATTTCTGAGAATTTGTCTCCAAAGCTTCTGTTTGAAATTGTCAGATGCAATAGTGTCTAAGCAAATACACTTCTCCTCAAAATCTTTTGGGAATTTTGCCATTTGCCTCAGTTGGAGAGTCCTTAGGCTAACACAGAGATTCTTCCAAAACATGCTGTGTTCCCCTCAGTGAAGTCCTAAGACCTGAAGACCCTAAAACTTCACGTCACCCATTATTGTAATCAGTGTATTTATTGCTATAAAATGAAGGAACTGGGACATGGAGGTTTGTATTTTAAAGCTTTGTTTTTGTCATTCCATGTTCTGCCAATATCTAACATCTGTATTTATTTTTTGAACTCTCCTTAATGGATTATATGCATCTGTTCAGTTCCAAGAATAATGCTTGATTTCCTGAATTTATAGGTTGCAATAAAATCCATTCGTAAGGACAAAATTAAGGATGAACAAGATATGGTTCACATCAGACGGGAGATTGAGATCATGTCATCCCTCAGCCACCCTCATATCATCACCATATATGAAGGTTAGTGAATGTGATTCCCCTCTCTGACTGCTCTGTTAACGTTCTTGCAGACCTGATATTCATGTTTATTGAGATTGTGCACCAAACAAACCCCTACTCTTAGTGAAACCCATCCCTTACCAAAGAGGCTGTTTGGAGCACTACCTGCCCTCTGAACCACCAGTGTTTCCCAGATGCATAACCCTTTGCCTGGAGGAACTTCTTCATGTGTGACCTGAGCACTGTGTCCATGGCAGATGGGAAATTGTTGCATCTATCACCTTGTCTCCTTGCTCCCACTGGACAGTTCAGTTTAATCTCATCCTCACTCATACACCAACCTGATGTCTGTTGATGTTCCCAGTTTCTAAACTAGTCCTTGTACACTTTATCTTCCCTGGATTGCACAAGACCAGTCTCATCTGCTCTCGGCCTTTGGTTCTCCCTTACCTGCTGTTCAGCCTTGCTGGTTCTGTCATCACTGCTTTTTTCCCCTGAATTCCAGCATCCGTTTCCTATCCACCTCTGCATGGTTTCCTGTCAGTCTGGTCACTGGCTTATCGTTCCTATTTCCTCATCCTGTCTTCCCCCTCTAGCTCCTTTCTTCCTGGGACACAGCTGGGAAGCCTGCTAATTCCTGCCTCCGGGAGCTGCTCTCTGGTCCTATAACAAGGAGCAGGAAGCCAGGGGCATTCCTCCCTGATTTGCCTGTTTGTTTGTTTATGTATTTATAGAGTGACACTCTGTAATAAAATATCCTCCTCCTTCCTTCCTTCCTTCCTTCCTTCCTCAAGTAACTTTCCAGCTCTAGCTGGGATGTCTGGATGGGGCACGTGCTAAAAGACACCAGCCAAGATGTCATTTGCCACAAGGAGGGTGGCTGGGTGGCAGACCCAGGGTGTGGGTTCCAGAGGTTTGGAGACACCTGGGTTGGGTAGCCTCATTCCCAGGCATTACCTCTTTCCGTGTGTGCAGAACAGGCAGCCTGCATTTAGCCCTTTGTATTTACAGACCCGCGAGGGAAACGCGCAAGGTGATGATATGTATATGGCAGCTCCACTCTGAGAGTTGATACGACTGATTAAAACGAGCTGCCTTGGAGTCCTATTACAGTATCGCATATTGAGTTATTCAAAAGCATGTTCTTGTACTTGAAAAGAGATGAATATCTGTCTTTTTATTGAATAAACTCATAACAGGATCTGGGAACAGAAAAAGGGAGGGATGCTGTGTCAGCATGTGGGTTACAAATGGAACAAAAGCTATTTCAAATGTGCACAGGAACTCGGAAAGAAAGAAGATTAAGCATGCCGTGGTCCTTTGACCAGTTGCCCTTCTCATCCTTATTTTAAATAGCTTTTACTGAGTTAAAACATTTGTAAAAGGTAAAAAGATTACAGCTTTTTAAAGAAGCAGACAATAAAGTCCTGTGGGAGCAGAACTTTCCCCTTTGGCCCCACGGAGGGAGGAGCAATGCCTGTGCAGCAGAGCCAGTCAAGCTCTAGGATGGAGGGTTCACTCTGTCTGCAGGAAGGCAAGCATCTATCACAGGTGATACTGTGGACTTCTTCTGGTTTATCAGCCAGCAGCAACACTTTGTGGAGGCAAGCCTGGAAGCAGTTTTTTCTTTTGTTCCTGGGAAGTCTTCAATTCTGTTACTGGTTTGTTTCCTTTTAATTTTCTAGAAAGCAGAGCAGCTTTTCATGGTTTCTCATGTTTAATTCCTGGTCTAAAGGGATGGGCAGTGGAAGTCATCTTCTTGATTGAACTGTAGTCCACTGGAAGGAGTTACACAGAGCAGAGCTATAGCAGCTATACAGCTCATCCAGCTTTTCCAAGCAGTCAGAGCTGGTATTTGGCTTTAACAGCCGATGCTGTAACTTAGCTGTTGCAGCACTGGGAAGATGTGTGGTTGTGCAGCTAAATCCAGAGGAGCAGTTTCATACTGCCCAGAGGTAAGGACATGAAGTCATGGTTCCTTAAGCATATACTTTGTTTCAAGCTGATGAGTACTTGTAGTGAAGTAAGAGACTATGTCTAGGACTGAAGTATTTTTATCCTCTTGAAGTTGGATTTTAAACACATGGCTGTATTGAGTGATGCATAAAGAGTGATAATACTGCTATGCTCTGACGCAGAATGTTGAAGTTCTTCAATCCTCAGTGATGGGCTTAATCTCACCAATTTAAGTCATCCCATGTTTAGGCAGCTGGTATACACTAGGAGTCTAGTTTCCTTCTCTAATCAAGAGAGATCAGCATCTACACAGGGTGGTTTGCTCCCTCCTGGGAGATATTTTTTCAGATAGGTAGGATAAATGACATTGGAGGCTCCTGTTGGGCATAGACGAAGTCTAGCTGACTAACTTAGATCAGATGCTTAACTTTGAAACTGAAGCCATCCCACAGGTATTTTTCTCCTCTCTCTCTAATTTTTACTGTAGGTTTTCGGACTGCCACTGCACAACTGACAGTACTTCTGTTAGGTGCCAGATTGCACAGATCTACCTAGCCTGGACAATGCTATATCTCCCCATAATATCTGTGAAAGCCCTTTGTATTGCATTGACAAACGTGATTTCCGTAAGCAGGCTCCTTGTTTAGGTGTCCTTTTGACCTGCCTGCTTAAATCAATTAACCTCGGAATTTGTCAACTGGATGTAAACACAGGCTTATCTTTTTTTTTCTTTTTTTTTTCTTTTTTTTTTTTGATACAGAGCAAATTCAGATGTGTGGAAACAAAGCTTTCTAGTTTAGAGATACTTTTTGTGGCCTAATCAAAAGGCACGTACCTTGCCCATTACTACAGAATCACAAAATCGTAGGAGTTGGAAGGGACCTCAAAAGATCATCTAGTCCAACCTCCCTGCCCAGCAGGGTCACCCAGAGCACATCACACAGGAACTTGTCCAGGCAGGTTTTGAATGTCTCCAGTGAATGAGACTCCACAGGCTCTCTGGGCAGCCTGTTCCAGGGCTCTGTCACTCTCACAGGAAAGAAGTTTTTTCTAATATTCACATGGAACCTCCTATGCTCCAGTTTGCACTCATTGCCCCTTGTCCTATCACTGGATGTCACTGAAAAAAGCCTGGCTCCATCGTTCTGACTGCAGGTCCTCGTTTAATCATGTGGGTCTCCTGGCTCCCTTACTTGATTTCCTACTCACTGGGGTGCTCTGATCCTCAGCTTGCAAGAAGTGGTCCTTGAACGTTGACCAACGATCTTGAGCCCCTTTACCACCTCATACCCTTTCCCATGAGACTTTTCTTAACAATTGTTTGAAGAGGCCAAAGTTTGCCCTGTGAAAGTCCTGGGTTCTGGTCCTGCTGGTTATTCTGTTCCTCCCACACAGGATCCTGAACTCCACCATCTCGTGATCACTGCAGCCCAGGCTGCCATTGACCATCACTGCTCCAACCTGACCCTCCTTGTTGGTGAGCGCAAGATCCAGCAGCACTCCTCTCCTGGTTGGTTTGTCCACCATTTGTATCAAGAAGTTATCATCGATGCACTGGAGGAACCTCCCAGACTGTGAATTGCTGGCTGGGTAGGCTTTCCAGCAAATATCTGGGTAGTTAAAATCCCCCATGAGGACCAAGGCCTGTAGTTGTGAGGCTGCTTTCAGCTGCCTGTAGAAAGCCTCATCAACTCTCTCATCCTGATCAGGAGGTCTGTATTAGACTCCCACAGCTGTATCACCCATGCCAGCCTGCTCCTTAATTTGTACCCACAGACTTTCCACTTGCTCCTCATCGGCCCCTGGACAGAACTCAATACATTCTAGTTGCTCTCTCACATAAAGAGCAACTCCACCGCCTTGCTTTGCTGACCTCTCTTTCCTAAAAAGGACACAGCCATCCATGACCACGTTCCAGCCATGTGAGCTGTCCCACCATGTCTCTGTAGTTGCTACCAGATCATAACCTTTAGACTGCACACAGACCTCTAGCTCCTCCTGTTTATTCCCCATGCTGCCTGCATTGGTGTGCAGGCATTTCAGGGAGCGAGCTGACCATGCTGGTGGCACCCTTGGGAGGTGGGAGGCCTTCTGGTCTTCATTAATACTAGAACAATGCCCACTACAAGGGCAGACATACAGTTGTGACTCCAAAGAAATTCCATCCTCTCAGCAGGGCTGTAATTGGCAATCTGTTGAGCATGGCTGCGAAGGAAGTGCTCTTTCAAATGACTTTAAACTTCTTGAAAGGGACTGGGTAAATGAAGCTGGCTTTGCTAGGAGTGTTCTGATTTCAGCACATAAATTTTAGTTTATAGAACAGTGCCTCTGTCCATTCATCTGTCCGTCTCTCCCCTGCCCCTCGCCCCTTCCCTGCCCTATTTCTTTTATGCCTTGAAAATTCCAGGATTTGATAATAAAGCCTTTGAGAGCTAACATATTTTTCCAGGGGAAGCCTAAGTGCAAAACCTATCTCAGCTGGCAATACTTTCTGAAAGTTAAGCCAGGGAAAG